TTGTTATAAATACATATTATTAATAACAGTTATGAGATCATATAATTGTGAATGTATATATGAAATTGATAAAATAAAATAAAAAAATTAATTAAAAAAAATGTCTCACTTAGCAATGGAAATTTTTTTTTTGGAGGGGGCAATTGTGGTCGTAAGTCGAGTACTAACTATAGAATCTTCATTTTCCAAAGCAGTGTGTGTGTCCCTGAGTGGCACAAGGAGGGTTTCAATCAAGCTGGAAGGGACCTTGGAGGTCTTCTAGTCCAACCCCCAGCTCAAGCAGGAGACCCTCTACCATTTCAGACATGTGACTGTCCAGTCTCCTCTTAGAAACCTCCGGCGATGAAGCATCCACAACTTCTGGTGGCCAGCTGTTCCACTGGTTGTCCTGGTTTCTCAATTCCAGATTGCTTCTCTCTTTGATTAGTTTCCACCCATTGCTTCTTATCCTGCCCTCAGGTGCTTAGGAGAATAAGTTGACCTCCTCCTCTTTGAGGCAGCCACTCAAATACTGGAAGACTGCTATCATATCCACCCAGTTCTCCTTTTCTCTATGCTAGCCAAACCCAAATCCTCCAATTGTTTTTCATATGTTTTGGTCTCCAGGCCTTTTATCGTCTTAAGTTGCTCTTCTCTGCACTTTTCCCCCCAAAGTCTCAACATCTTTTTTGTGAAGTGTTGACCAAAACTGGATGTTGTATTTCAGGTGTGGCCTTACTAAGGCTTTACAAAGCGGTGCCATGACTTTCTGGGGTCCACCCTCAGGGTCTCCTGAGCCACTTGGCTATCCCCTCCAGAAACCGCCCCCCCCAATGGTGCTCGAATTCCACCAAACCCCAAATCAACCCTTACATTTTGCACACCAGGGAAAACGAGAAGCTAAATTGAAATATTTCCTTTTATTTATTTAACAAACACTATCGTCTTGAGTTCTGAAGAATGAGTGAGAAAGAAAGAAAGGAAGAAAGAAAGGAAGAAAGAAAGAAAAAGAAAATTTGCTTTACAAATGGAAAAAAAAACAGGAGAGAGGGAAGAACAAGAAGCTAAAGGAAGAAAAGTTAAGTTTTTTAAAAAATTAAAACAACCAACAACATATGTACAGACTGAAGAAACTTTGCTGAGCTAAGGAGGGAGAGAAAGAGAGAAAGAGAGAAAGAAAACAGAAAAAGGAAGAAAAATGTCTCAGCAGGGACGGGCTGGGAAGGAGAAATCAAACGGAAGAAGTTTTAATGCGCAATTAAATTAAAAATACAAACACCGAGAGAAGGAAAGTCCTATGTTCTACTTGGTGGCTGTAGAAGCAATCTATACAAGAAAAATTCAGTCCGGGCCCTTTTTCCTCTGGGCCGGAACGACAGTGTTGTGATGTGTTTTAAAACAGAGCAAACATATTGCTTAACTTTTGAGATGTTTTGACTGTAAAAATATTAGTTGGTGGGAGCCGGGGATGGGAGGACGACAATGGAGCAATGGAAAGGGACAGGAAAGCCCGAGGAAAGACTTTTTTTCCCTTCGTTCCTTTCCTTCATCAGTCTTTCCTCATCTGGACTTTGGGAAGGAAGGACGGACGGACAGAAGGAAGGAAGACAGAAGTGGGAAGGAAGGAAGAAGAAACAATGAAAAGAAAGAGAGAAGGAGAAGAATGGAAGGAGACAGAAGTGGGAAGGAGGGAAGGAATGGAAGGAGACAGAAGTGGGAAGGAGGGAAGGAAGGAAAAAGAAACAAAGAAAAAAAGGAAGGAGAAGAATGAAAGGGAACGGAAATGGAAAGGAAGGAAGACAAGTGGGAAGGAAGGAAAAAGAAAAACAATGAAAAGAAGGAGAAGAATGGAAGGAGACAGAAGTGGGAAGGAAGGAAGGAAGG